TGAATAGAAAAACATTTCTATTATTAATTAATTCAAGAATGAAAAAAATTTTTTTAATCAATGAGATGAAATAGTTTAACAATAGAGATTTCTGAAAAGAAATCTATTTTATTTAAGATTTAAAACTTTCTAAGAAAAAAGGAATTTTTCCTGAATCAATAATTTTCTAAACTTCAAATAGTTAACAATTCAATGCAGTTGTTTTTGAAATAAAAATATTCTTTCTATATAAATAATTATATTTAATTCTTCTAATTCTAATAGATAATTATATCAGCTTCATTTACTCAAAAAATAAATATGTAACATATGAAACATGAAAAATAAATTTATAATTTATGATATAGAATGCTTGATATAATTAGATTCAGCTATAGTTCTTTAAATAGATAAAAAATAGAAAATAATTTTATGCATAACTTAGTACGTATTTATTCTAGAAGATGTTTTGAAAATTTAAAAATTATTTTTATTTGTTTTAAATACAATTCTAAATTTTATTATTTAAATTTTAATTAAAATAGATACCATCTAAATCCATGATTTTTTTTTCAATGGGATTCTAATGAATGAAAAAATACTTTTTTTGAAAAGTCTTAAAAAAAAAGAAATAATAAACTTTTTGAAGACTTAAATTATAAAAATTCTGTTTTAAAGATTTTTTAATGCAAAAATCTGTTGAAGAGAATAGAAAGAATAGAAATAAGGATGGAGAAGATATGATGAGAAGAATTTTACCTAATTTATGAAAATTATTATAATGTTTCTGTATAACAATTTATAAAGAAAAAAAATTTGAATTTAAAGAATAATGAATATATTGAAAAAAATTTGATTAAAAAATTAAAAATTTATTAAAAAGTATCTTTTCTATGCAAAATATAATAAACTTTTCAAAGATACCAAATTTGCAATCAAACAATCAAATAAATCTTCAAGCAACCGAACAAACTAATGCTCAAATGTTGAATATATACAAATTTAACATTTCATGTGATAATCAATCTATGATAGTCATAATCTAATAAAAGAATTTATTTTAAATATAAAATTTCTCAAAATATAAATTATTTTTTGTAATTTTTTAAATCATTTATTTTATTATATATGTATAACAAACAAACATTGAAACAAATATTTATTAATAATGTATAGATAAAAAAAACATAAATATATATAAAATATTTGATGCTTGATAGTTATTAATAAAATAAATGATTAAAATAAAATTTTTTAAATAATTCATATTTTAAGAATTTTAATATTTATACATTTATTTTAAAATATATAATATTTTATATGTAAATAATATTATATATATTTTATATATTTTAATGCAACAATAATAATTTTTTTAAATTCTAAATATAAAAATATTAATTTTCAAAATGTGTACATATAAAAAAATAATTTAGAATACATATAGAAAAATAAAACAAATAGAAAAATAATATAGAAAATAACATATAGAACATATAGAAAAATAAAACAAATAAGAATATGATTTTTAGTAATATTCTAAAAAATTAATCATATATTACAAAAAAAGTATATCAAAAGATAAAGATAAAATAATAATGATAACTACTACTATAAATGACTACTATAAATATATCAATTTATATATATTTCTATCTATTTATTAAAATTTCTAAAAAAAAAAATATGAAATTAAAGTTTCATCAATATATATCTTAACATAAATATTTTTATTAAAAGTTATTTTCAAAGGAAGAAGTTAAACTATTAATAAAAAAAATTAATTAATAAAAATTAATTAATAAAAATTAATTTTCATGAAAAATGTGCAATACATAATAAATAAAATAATTAACATATTTATAAATTTTTTTCTTAAAAAGGAATATAACAAAATATAATAATAAAATAAAATAAAATAAAATTCTTTTTGAAATTCTTAATGCATATATAAAATATATATTATATATATATATATAAATATATATATTCACTAGTATGAATATGAAATAATTGAAAAAATAATTTTTTTGATAAATAGAAAAAATCAAACAGAGAACATAATCCTATGACATCAATTGTAATATATTAATTTTAATAAAATTTTATATATAAATAGAAATTATTTTTCTTGCTGGTAATTTTAGAAGATAATGTAAAAATAAAATTAAAAACAATGTTTAAAAATGTAATGTAAAATAATATTAAGAACTAAAAAATTATAATTTAGAATAATTAAAAAACGAATTGTAATTTTATATTTATCCTGAATTTTAATTTAGATTTTAAGAAATATAAAATTTTTTGGTCTTTCACTTAAAAAATTACAGTTTTGTTGTTATATTATTATTCTGAATAATGTAAGTATGTCTAGAATTTTGTTAATTTTTTAAAAAAAAAAAGCTAGCTATCATTATTTATTTTTTATTTTGATAGTTTTAGAAGTATAATGAAAATATTTTTAACAATATTATTTTCAATTATGATAGAAACAAAAAAAGATTTAGAAGAAGAGATTTGCTATAAAAATTAAATAAAAGATATTATATAACAATTAAGTATGACAAAAAAGCATTCTAAATATGTATATTATTATATATTATTATTATTTAATATTAATATTTTTACTTTTACGTATCATTCGATAGAATGATATATATTGCATATTTTGACGATATCGATATCAATATCGATTCATTCATATTAAATATCAGCTTCGCACTTGTGAAGCAAATTTTTGTAAGATTGACGCAAGTAGACGTCCGATTTCTTATCATATTGACGCCATCTGGCGAAAATTACTAATTAATATTTTCTGTGAATATTAATATTCATATAATGTATATATTAATATTTTGTGTAAAGAAAATATTGCTATAAAATGATTTTATAATACTTATCTAACAATAAAAGTAAAAATTCGTTCAATGTATTAATGAGAAATTTATATTTTTATAGAGTATATTATTTTTTATTTTTTTATAATGATTAAAATATAAGAGAATTTTTTATTAAAACCTTATTTTCATTGTATGTATATTTAAATTTTAATAAATTTCTAATTTCTTTATTTTTTAGAAACTAAAAATAATTATTAAAGTTAATAATTAAAATTATTAAAATTAATATTACTATATATAATTTTTTATATATAATATCTTTCTATATATAATATCTATAATTTTAATCATTTTTAATTATGTACTTATTTAAGAAAAATTATATAATTAATATGAAATTATAATGAAATATAAAAAAAATAAATATTTTATTTTATACATAATATTAATATTAATAAAGTATAAAAATTATATATTATATATTATATTATATATTATTTCAAAGAAATTTTTTCTCCTTTCAATGTATTATATATAATTCTTTTTTAAATTATTTTACTAATTAAATTTTACGTCATTTTATAAATCCAAGTAACAATTATTTACTAACATGAATATTTATTATAATAATTTATTATTATTAAATTTTTGTTATAATATAAAATATGATTATTCTAAAAGAAACATCTTTATTTTGCAAATATTTATAAAATCTTAATTACAGTATCTCTAAGAGACAGAAAGAATTCATAAGATTTGATGAACTTTCTATATGCACAACGTTCAATACCATATATAGTTACATAAAATATACTTCATTAAAATGGAATATCGTAATGAAATTTAATAAAATATAATTACAAAAAATTTATTAATATTCATTTTCTTATTGCTTGCTCTTTTCGAGATTTTACTTGTGTATAACCTTAAAATTACAAGTTTAAAAAAAGCATCCAATTCTAGACAATAATTTTAAACGTATTTTTAATGTATTTTTTACACATTCTTAATCAAAATTCGTTTTTCAATTTTTTGGTTTTAAAAAATTATTTGGTTTTAATTTTTATTAATCTTATGTTTCTTATCTTCTGTTATATCATTATTAATATAGTGTAATATTAAACAGCAAATAGAAAAAAAATATCAATTTTAGTTCATTATTATTCCTATAGAAAATATAAATGATAAAAAATTTGACAATATTTTTTATAATAACATTTTTTTATAATAAATTTGGGTCCCTTTAATTAAAAATTTAATATTGTATTATACATAATTTCAAAAAGGGATTCATTAAATGCATATCATATCATATATAGTATTATCATATTATTATATTATGTATAATAAAGAAAAATAGAAAAGAAAAATTTTTATACTAAATTTGTCTTTTTTAAACTATAACTGGAAAGCTTCTTATTTTTATTATATTTTACAATTATGATTGCAATACTTATTGCAATTCCTATTAATTTACATTATAAAATTACTTCTAAACAATTATACTTTATAAAAAAACTATTACTTTATATTATAAATTTTAAAAAATTAATTTATGATTTAAATTTATAATTTCGTGATACATAAGTGATCATAAAACTTTTATATTATATAGAAAATTATTTTATGTTTCAAAACAATTTAAAATTGTATAAATATAATGAATATAATTAAAAGTAATAACAAATACATAAAAAATTAGATATTTAGAGTGCACCATTAAAATTTTCTATATTAATAATGTATATATGCAAATTTAATTTTTTCTAATCTCAAATTTTTAACTTTATATGCTAAAAGATAAATTACTTAAAATAATAATTTTTTGTCATTAATTTTCGTTAGTGAAAATATATTAAGAAATTTGAATCAAGAGAGAATAATCTTCAGTACAAATATTAATAATATAATACTAAAGAATCTTAAGAAAATTTTTAAAAAGTGTGTACAGATAACAACAGTATAAAGGCAATTCAATACTGATTGATGTGCACAATTTAAATGATTATAAAATAGAATCTACATGATTAGATATGTATGTGTATACACGTATTTACATATACATGTATATGTAAATATATATGCACGTATACATATTTTTGTATGTGCGTGTATATATGTATATATTCATATACACAATTATTCACTTTTAAGGTTTACGATTTAAGAAAAGTATCTAAATAAATATCAATGTTACTCTTTCTCTTATTACTTAAAAAATACAGTTATGGCATCGCAGTATGACTGAATATCTATAAAAATTAGAGTTCCTTTTGGCATTCTTATTTTAATTGCGATCGTTGTACAGCTTCCTATTATGAAAGAAAGTTTATTCTTTCCAGTCTTTCTTAATTTCAAATGACCACTCCCACTTAAGATGTTCATGTTTGTCATCATCAGTAAACAAGGAGCTTACACTATAAGAGCCACGTGCCACTTTTCCAGCTGGTGCATCCTCTGTTGGAGTAGTATATGATTGAATTTCTGTTTTTGGTGGATAAGAACCCACCATATGCATCATCTTATCCACTAAAAAGATAATATGATAAAAATATTAACAATAAACAAATTAGACCTATATTTATAATAATTAATATAATATTTTAAAGATACCTGTAACACCTAGGAAAGAAAGCATTAAAGAGAGAAATATAAAATTAAAATTATAATTTAAAATATATTAATTAATAATTCAAAATAAACATAATTTAAAATATTGAGTTAATATTGAAAATCTTAAAATATAATTAATATTTTTAATATTAATATTATTATTTTATAAAAATTTACCTGGTACTCCAAAACGATAAGTTTTTTGAACATATTTTAAACCATGCACAATTTCACGTTGAACAATGAAATCAATTCTGATTCTATAACTGACACCTTCTTTTATTACAAATGTTTGTTTTTTTAATTGAGATAAATCACCTGTTAAATCTAATTCCATATCTGGTCGATCTGCTACACAAAGTGCTAATTTTTTTACTATTACTTTTCTAGGATCATTTGGATCTATAAAATTTTAAACCATCATCATTTTTATTTATTTATTTTTTTTAAATAATTTATTTTAAATATTTAATGAAATACGTACCTACAACAATACCTCCAGATTTGGCTTCTCCTAAAAGTGTTTCTTTATATTTACGTAAACTTTCATCTTCTTTATCTGTTTCTAAAATTTGTTCTATTGTTTTTTCTGGAGGAGGTTTGTAATTAGATTCCACTTCCAATTCTTCTTCTACAGAGTCAACGTGATCAGTATTAAGTTCTGACATATTTACTAATAACAAAAATACATTAATTAAAAAAAATATATTAAAATATTATATATATAAAGAGTTTCAATAATTATTTTATATTATATTTTAATATTATATATTTTGATATTATTTTGATATATAATAAATATTTATGAATATTTATTTAATAAAAATATTTTAAGTTAAAAATTTATTACATTATGAAAATAATAGAAAATTTAATTATTAATTTCAATTAATAGTTAATAAGCAATTTAAATCTTAAAAATAATTAATGTAACATTATAATAATTTTATCTATAACTAATTTTCAAAATTCGAATATCAATACTTATATACATTCTGTGACGTATATAAATCACCATATAGATATGCTACTAGAAAATATTTTTAGAAAATTCAAATATTAAAAAATTAATTGTAAATTATACATATTTTATATTTTCTATACATTTTTATAATATTAACAAATTAAAAAAAAATACTAAATAATTATTCGATTAAAATAATAGTGAATAATATATTAAGAAGATAATGAGAAAGTGACAGAAAGGTAAAAAATGTTTAGATAGATTTATGAAGTTAAAAATGTTTATAAAAAATATTTTATAGTTGAAGAAATAGAATATTTAAGCAATATGTGTGTGTGTACTTACTATAATTATAAAATAATAAGATGAAGCTTAGAAAATGAAAACTTGCACAGAATTATTGGCAATTCCTTAATCCTGTTTGCCACCCCTTCTATGATTTGCTCTGAAAGCGGAAGACATGGACAATATGGCGATTCCAAAAGGGCGGGTACTTCCTGTTTTAAGTTTTTGAGGTTAAGTTTTCCTTGTATTTATTTGTTATAATAATTTTGAAAAGAAATAATATTTTATGAAAAAGGAATATTTTAATTTTATTAAATTTATTATTTTAATTATCCTAATTTTTTATTTTTTTAAATATTCAAAATTTCTTATGAACTTTGTATGTTCTTTAAATTTATAGATTATTTTCCCGCGTTTTTGTATAAATAAGTTTGTTTTTATTTGTTAATGTATTAAATTAAATAACAAATTTTATACGAATTAAATACTATTATATTATATCATTTGATAAAAAATATTAATTAATTTAACCTTAAAATTAAATATATTAATTAAAAAAAATTATTTTGAATAAATTAATAAATTGTTAATATGAATTTATAATAAATAATATAATATATATATATATATATATAATAATATTTTATTTGATATATTAATATAATTATACATCAAAACTAATGAATGTATTATCTAACACAATATTTATCTATGATAACTATCAATTTTACTTATTTCTTAAAATACATTGACAATGTTTTATTAATATCTCTATTCCTATTTGATTTCTAAAATTCATCTTACACTTTTGAAGTTTTTGATATAATAATTCTGGGTGTACTTTGGCTAATTCTTTTAAACTATCTAAAAAACATTTAATAAATAAAATATATTATAATGTAATTTTACATTGAAATATATTTTTGATTTAAATAATTTACTACCTAATATAATATTTCGAAATTCACTTTCTGGATCGTCCAAATATATTATAATTGTAGTATATAAAGTATCTATATGTCCTTTATTAAAATGTAAATCATAATTCTTAGGTATTGCATTCCAAACTTCTGTTAAAGCTTCTAATGATATTAATCTAACATCATCACATCCATCATCAAGTCTTTTTAGAAGTACAGGATATATTTTATGTACATATTCTTCTGTGAGATGATCAAATTGTTTTCTAATACACATTATTAGATACATAGCTTGCAAAGAATAAAATCTACTTTTCTTAGAATTATCATCTGCAAGACTAATTAAAATAGGAATTATTTCATCAAGTATTAAACAAATATTTTGTTCATCACAATCTATAGTTTCTTTCATTATAGAATCTTTTTCATATTTATCTAAAAAAATACATAAACAAGAAACTGCTGCTGTACGTATAGCTTCAGCAGTTTTTCCTGCACTCCAAATTAATCCAGGAAGTATACAATCTTTCAAAAATTGATTAGAAAATTTCAAATCCATAATTTCGCTTAAAGATCCCTGATTAAAATATTCTGATAATAAAATAAAATGTTTCAATCTCAATTCAGGATCAGCATCATTTGTCATAGTTTCTTTCAAAATTGGTAAAATAATGTTTATATTATAAGCCAAAATTTGTTTCATATAAATTAAACATGCACAAAAAATTTGAGATTCTGAATCATGAATTGACCATGATTTATAATCAGAAAATATTGAAAATAATTGATCAATATTTTCATAATAAAATTCTTTAACATTATCAAATGAATTAATATTAGCAAGAATATTTAATAATTTTTGTGCTTCTAATTTTATCAAATTTTCTTGTGTCATAGATAAGACAGTGAATATTATTATAAATAATTCCTTTGATATAATTTTACAATCCTAAAAATTTTTAAATATATTATAAATAACATAAAAAATTTAAAACTTAAAAATCTCTCTAAATAAACAAACAAGTAAGAGTAACAAGTAACAAGACAAACCTCTTTACATACTGAAATTAAAGAAGAGCAACAAGAAATTATTTGTTTTTGATATGTTCCTTTTTTACTTTGACAGATATATGGCTGTTGTAAGAATTTTCCAATATTTTCTAATAATGGAAGGAGCATACAACGTTCACTACTTTTTAAAATTGCAGAAAATACTTTTAAGTGACCTACAGATGGAATTTCTTCAAGAGTAGGAATTATCAAATTACAATAGATTTTTGGTGATACAAAATATCCTAAATATTCTGCTGCTCTTTCTATATTTTCTACAACTCTATTATCTTCATCATTACAAGCTCTAATAAAAAATTATATATCTTAGAAATATAATTATAATAATTATTTATATAATAATATAATTATTTTTATTTATATAATAATATAATTAATTATATAATAATATAATTATAATAATTATTTATTAATAATTAATTTTTTTTAATAATGTATAATTTAGTATATATATTTACCGATACATAGGAGGTAAAAGTTTTCCAATATGTTGTATTACATCTTCTTCTATATTTAAAATAAATACACAAAGTAACTGTGCAGTTCGTACTCTTATGTCTGCAATCCAATCTTCTAATTCTAAGCTAATTCCATTTATCAATTTACTGAAACATTGCTGTGCTATCATACGGCATCCTAAATTTGGTCTAATAACTGCAAAAAATTTATAATAACATAAATATAAATATCTATAATATATTATATGTACCATTAGGATAATGATGAGGATTTTTGGTAAGAAAATCCAATTTATTTTTTAATTTTTCATCATTTTGATTTTCTTCTATATACAATTGTCCTACAGCATCCCAAAAGGTAGCACTTTTTTGTCTAATTTCTTCTAATTCATCATGAAGACCTGTTAAAAGTAATGGAAGAATTTTGTGCCACCAACTATATCGATCTCTTAATTTCAAAAGCCAACAACCTGATACTTCTATTACCGCTGTGAATAATTTTAATAACTTATTAATAACTTATTAATATTTATATATATATATACAAATAATGAAATACCTATTCTTACAAGACCATTTTGATCAAACAATCGTCCTGCTAAAAATGTAGTTACTTCTTCTATAGACTTATTAGTATTCCCATATAGAATTAAATCTCCTATTGTTTTTACAGAAGCAACTCTAATTCTATAGTGTTGATGTGTAAAATTATTCAAAATTGGTTTTACAAAATTTTGAGATTGTATATAGAAATATCTTGATAAGTTTTTTGCAAATTCAGATATACAATCACAGCTTTCTCTTTTAACAAGTGGATAATTATCTGCTACAGTTTGTACTAAGATTTTTGTCAAATCATCAATATATGATGCTAATAAATTTTCATATTTCAATATTATTATTTTTAATAATATAATGCACTTTAATCGAACTTCTTCTGAAGTTTCTATTTGTTCAGAAGAACCTAATCTTTTAGATAAAATTGGAAGTAAATACATGATATATTTATCATTCGGTTTTAAATTAATTATAAATAATTTTATAATTTCCAATGTTCGATCACGACACTCTTCTACAGAATCATTTAAAATTCTTAATAATGATTTATTAATAATATCGAATAATTGCAATATTTCATTTTCAGATTGCTTTAATTCTAATAATTTAAAAATTTCTTTTAAACCTTGTATTCGTCGTTTTTTTACTTCTGATTGTAACATAACACAAATCCTAGTCAATTCATAATTCGGAGTTTCCACAGACATTCTAAGAACTTAAAATATTTTAAAAATTTTAAGCAATTTTAAGAGATTGTTTGTTGACTTTAAAATTATATTTGATCTGTTGTTATAGCAACGTTTTTATTGATTTATTTGCTTTAATCCAAATATTTAGTAACCATGTATACATATATAATAATCATATTCAAGTTAAAAGAAAAAAAAGGCTTTTCTTTTACTTTTTATTAAATTTTCGTTATTATACACTAAAATAATGTTTATTACTCCATCTTTAAATATACTTTTCAAGTATGCAATATAAATCTTGTAGGTTTTATAGATCAAAATATACAATTAAAATGAAAATCAAAATTTATATATATATATATATATATATATATATATATGTATACACACATATATATATTACATAAACTTATCAATTATCAATTCTAAGCTACATACATAAAAACTTAAAAATGTATATGGAAATTATGAAGCAATTTAATTACTTCTAATCTAAATTAAATGAGACTAGCATGATCAATTTTTTTTAAAATAAAATAATAAACAAAATTCGATAGATATGTTTTGTATATGGTCCTTGAATGTAGAAACTCTCAGTATATTTAAAATGTATTATTTCATCATAGTTTCTAATCTTCTAAAGTGACATTTTTAAATAAATATGACATAGATTCTTTATTGTGAATACGCCTAATAGCCTCTGCCAGCAAAATACTGATATCAACAGTCTTTATTTTTGGACACTGCATTTTTTGAACATCATGAGGAACTGTATTTGTAACAACAACCTAAAAATAATAATTATAGATTTAGTTTTAAAAAATATATAACAATGTTTGGTTAAATTTTAAAAAAATTTTGAAGACTCATTTCCAAGTTTCTTCTATTCATGTTTCAAACTTCAGTTCAAAATCAATAAATAAGAAAAGCAAGAAAAGTAATAAAATAGTATATAGTACATAGTATATGGTTATATACTATAACCATATATATATATATATATACAGAACAAAATCAAACAGCAATGATCAAGAATCGCAACTTCAAAAAATTTTTTATTATCATCAGAATATGAATAATTATTCAATAAAAAAAACTTTCTGTAATTTTAATTTTGTCTTTACGAAAAAATAACAATGAACAGCAAAGATTTTTCTATTTAAAATGAATTCAAAAAACAATAGAAATCAGATTAGTTTTATTAGTAATCAAATTATTATTGATAATTATTAATAGTATTAATTTATTATCTAAATAATAAGATTAGTTTAATTTAAATATCGTATTTGAATTCATTTTAATTGAAAAATATCAACAATACATTGATATTGTTTTCATAAATCTTTTAACAAAAACTACAAAAAGTAAAATTTTCTTTATTACATAATTTTTTTATCTTACAGCATTTTTTTAATATGCCAGTTCTTGATCGCTGCTCAATGTACTATTTATTTTATTTCTTCTAAATATCTATTTTTATATCTATTTTTTCACTTTATCAAATTAAACTCACTTTGTTGAATTAATTCCTGGAAGAAAAAATATTATCAAAATACACTCATTAATTTTAATGCTGACTTTCGAAAATTTTAAAATTTAACCAATTACTATTATATATACAAATATATATTCATATGCATGCATATATATATATATATATATATATATATATATATATATATATATATATATTTAAATAGATATAAAATACCTCATCAATTGGGGATTCTTCTATTAATCTTGGAGCATCAGAACTTAAGAGTCCATGTGTAGCTAAAACATAAATTTTATATGCTCCTCTTTCTTTAAGAACTTCTGCTGCAGCTACATAAGATTGAACATCATCTATCATATCATCCTAAAATATAAAATTCTTTTCATATAATTGATATAAATATATAATTATATAATTTCTTTATTTTTTAATTTTTATATATATTATTATTAAATTTACATACCACCATAATAGCTATACGCCCACCTACATCTCCCACAACATTAATTGGAGGTTTTTCTTTAGCAGGATGCATTGGAACACCAACACCAACTTCCATTGTTCGTGAAGCTAATGCAGGTGGAGAATAACGTCCATCGTTCATATCCGATTCTGCTTCACGTTGCTCTCCATGAATTACTGCTATTCCTAGACGTAATCTTTCTGCATAACTAGTAGCCTTTTTTGCACTACCAGGATTTCTTGCAACTATCACTGAATTGTGATAGTCTGGTATCTGATTAAATAAAATTCAAAATTAAAAAAATCTATAATGGTTATTTTTAGTGGTATTTTTTACATACAGATTCTTGAATATACTGCAATAAAAATGGACTAGCTCGTAAATTATCGACTGGTACATCAAAAAATCCTTGAATTTCTTTTTGATGCAAATCCATTGTAATTATATGTGTTAAACCACTTTTACAAAGCATTTTTGCTAATAGTTTAGAAACTATACATCCTCGTTTACGCATTTTGCATTGTTTTGAATAAGGTAAATATGGAATGACACCAACAATATTTTTTGCTGAAGAAGTTTTACATGCATATGCCATAATCAGAAGCTCCATTATATTATTGTTTACATCTTTTGTTCCTGTTTGTATAATATAGAGATCTTTACTTCTTACAGAATCTCCAATTTCAACCATAGTTTCACGATTTGACTTATGATATACAGAGCATCCTCCATGTTTAACACCTAATCGACTATAAAATAAAATAGTTAATATAAATTAATAAATTAATAAATTATTATTATATAAATTATCATAACATATATTTATGAAAACCTACTTGGCAATAAGATTAGCCAATTCTGGATGGGAATTACCCGCAATGAGTACAATATCTGATGATACAGGTTTGTCCATAATATAATTGTGTTTAAAAATAGAATAATATATATAATTTATATGACTTTTTTTTTAATGTATATAGAAAAAAGTATTTTATTATTTTAAAAAGATAAAAATTTTAATAAGTAAATAATTATAATAATTATAATTTAATATTTTAAAATATTTAATGTAAATACTTTATAATTTACACTGATATGATAGATTATATGATAGATTATATATTTACATATATTAAATTACGAATTATAAAATATTTTTGATAATAAATTAAATTATATTTTGTTCATTTATATATTAATATTATACAATGCTAGTGATAAAATATCATTAACTATATATTTAGTTTAAATATATAAGTTAAATTCTAAAGTTAATCTAATCTTCTATATTTCGTTTGCGTTAGTATTTTTCGTCGATTTATGGCTTCTTGAACAACTGCTAAATTTCAGAAGTACCAACTTATATAAATATTTAATATTGAAGTATAATTTTTATTATTGATTCTATAATTTTATAAGTAATTTTTAGTAAATAGATATAACTAAATAGTTAGTGTTTGTCTTTTAAGATACATATATTTCTTGACATATATATAATGTGTATACGCTTTATTTCTTTTAATTTGAGTTATTCTACTATTAAATAAATAATATTAAATAAAATATTTAATATGATATAATAATATAATATATAATAATAATACTCTCTTTCTTAAAAAAATATTAATATAATTAAATATTTAATTCATATATTTTTATTTTTAATTCATATTGTTGCATATTGGATATTATAATAAAAAATGCATATGCATATATATTATAACTTATTTTATTCTAAAAATTATGATTTTAAATGTTTTATCAAAATATATACATACATATATATAACAAAATGTGTAACAAATATTAAGAAATTAAAAATCAGTATTTTTAAGTTATATACATGTATATAAATAAACACGTAGCACAAAACAATTAATCGAATTCATTTTTTTTTTTGAACATCGAATTTTAGCGAAATTTTTTGTTTCTTAAAAATTAATATTTAACATTCTTCTATATTTATTCAAATATGTATTCAAGTATGTAACAAAAATTCATAAAAAAATAACAATTCGTAAATAAAAAACGTATTCATGAAATAAAAATATATAACTTATATATGATTTACATATGATTATCAAAAAGCTATCAAAGCTGGCTAAATTTTAAGAAAAATACTCAAATTCTTATATTTTTTTATGCATTTTTTTAAAATTAAATTTTGATGTACATAATCTGAAATGATAGAATGAATTATCAAAATTCATTAATTTAAAAATTATTTATATTTTTAGGGATTTTTGTGATGATATGTATACTATAATTATTGCCTTTGGTATTTTTGTTATTCAATCAGATTGGATAAAAATCCAAATGGCATTATATTATTTATAAAAATTAAAAAAAAATTGCGATTCATATAAATTTTTTTTTCTAAAATTTAATAATGAAAATAATAAAATATTATATATAATAGATTTAAATATTGGAAAAAATTTATGTAATAAATTTACATTGTATTTTATGTAATAATTTATAAATTTAAAAGTGTAATAAATTTAAATTTTTCATTTTGGATATGTATCCTAAATGATTCATTCATAGTGAAAAATGTAAATTTATATTTCATTTAAAATAAACATCTAAAATAAAACCAATTTTTATTTTTAATGAATAGAATAACGAAATATCAATAATTCTAAATTTGTTCATTAACAAATGAATAACTGTTTAGATAATATGTATTTTTGTTGTAATTGTACACATAAAAATTTAAATTTGCTTTAATTTGATACTTATTATTTCACTAGTTAATATTTTGAGAATTAATAAATTAAATTCAATTATTGATTGATAATAAATATTATAAATTTCAATTTTTATTTTTTGATTATAGATGAATCATTTATGATGAATATCCAAAATAAAAAAATATAAATTCGATATATATAATATATAATAAATAAAAATAAAAAATGAAAGATAATGATGAAAATAAATGATTTCTTTAGTTGATATATTTTTTATTTGTTGAATATTTCATTGTCTGCATGTACGAATTAAGATCGCAAGCAAAATTAAAAATTGAAACATATATGAATTTAAAATTGGAAATAAAGCAATTATATTCATTTGCAATGATTTAATTTAATTATTATTTTTTTATTATTTATTTTCTATATCTAACTTATAAATAGTTCAAAAACAATAATGAGATTAAAAATAATAATTTTTTTTGCGAGAATTTTAATAATATCACAAACTTATATACTGTAGAAAAAAATTACAAAAACATGGTAATTATTTTTCTAAATAAAATAAAAAATAAAATAAATAATAAAATAAATAATCTAAATAAAAAATACTTACATAAGTTTCAGAAGTTTAGTTTATTTAAATATTCGTAAGAATTTCTTTCGATACGAGTTATTCTATACATTAAATTAATTATTTTTTATTATAATTTTTGAAATTTTGTTGAAATTGAAATAGATAATAGTTCATATGAAAATAAAAGAGTTTTGATTTATTATTATTTTTTTAATTTTGAAATTTTTTAAAATATACAATAAATTTTTAAAAATTTTCATAAAAATTACATTCGTTTATATTTACATACAATTTTTATTTCCATTAATAATAATACATTAATAATACAATTAGATATTAAACACAATTAAAATTAAGTACTAATTCTTTTTCTTTTTATATTTTATTCATAAAAGATTGATCTTTTTATTAAATTTTTTTATTTCATGCATAAATTTATATTTCATGCATAATTTATTTTGCAATATATAAATAGAAAAATATATTCAAATCTTAAAAATTAAAAAGAATTTATAAATTTCATTTTTTTAATTCTCTATTATTTAAAAATTAATTTAGGATGATCGAAAGAATAAATAAATATTATAATATTCGATTCATATATATTCATGTATATAAATACGCATTCTCACTTGATCGATCAATTTTTTTGGCAAATTTAGAGAAATTGAGTGATCTTTGTCATAATAATAAAAAAAATATTTAAAAAATCAATTTATTATTGTAATTATATATATATCATAAATATTTAAAATATTCTATTTATAATTCTATGTATCTATTTCTTTGTCAATAATAGATAATGATTTTTTTACAATAATCTTAAAATATTGATTATTATTTTATATATATATATTATTTTATCTTAAAATATTATTTTTTTATGATTATTGTAAAGCATTATTAATCATAAAATATCATAAAAAGATAGTTTTATTTAATAAAAAGAAGAAAAATGGCAAAAATATTATAAATGTTAGGATATTTTTGAATTAGTTTAAATAATTGAAGCATATATTTCCAACATATAAATATTATAAAATTACGTTGAAAATTCATTTATATTGTTTAAAAATATTTTTCAGTAAAAATTATAATTATTTTAGTATGAAATAACTTATAATTAAATATTAAATTAATTTTTTTAAAAAAACATTAATTATATTTTGTTTTATCATGTTTATCATGAGCATCAATCGATAAAATTTATAGTCGAATTAAATTAAAAAATTAATTATAAAAAATCACAATTGATTAATTCAATAATGAACTCATTTATTCCTCATTGAATATTTATATAAATAAATTGAAATAATGACTATCGACTAGTGTTTCGATTATGTAGTTATTCCAAATTCGACTCATACATTTCGCTAGTGTATAAAATTTTTTATATTGCAATTTACAATATAATTATAAATTAATTTAATTTATATGCAAAAGTTTTTTTACGTTATAATAAAAATCATAATTAAATAAGATAAAATAAGATAAAAAAATCATGATTTTTATCATATGACTATTATGCTACTAAATCAATATTATGATGATAAAAATCATACTATTTAGTATCATAACCTTAAATCACAATTTACTAACATAATACTCATATGAAAATATAACTTAAAATAGGTATAAAATTAAAAAAAATATTTAGTTGTTAGTTCTGATGTTTCTGATTGGCTATAAATCACATGACACTAAATTCAAATTATTATTGGCTGAATTAAATAGTTGATGCTTGAGTTTTCAGTTTCAATAATAAGAAATCTTAAGTGCAAGGAAATAAATATTTAATATTTTTTTCACATTTTAGAAACTTTTTAAAGATATATGAAAAACAATGTCAAGTCCTATAAGATTATCGGCTACAGATAGTCCTGGAAGAACTCCTAGAAGACAAATACAAAGTAGTAGATCTCCTTCTGCTTTTGGTACTCCTCGTAAGTATTTATTTTAAAGGTTATTTCATATTCATTTTTATTTATAGTACTAAATAAATGTATTGTATAAACATAATATAAATAAAACATATAATAAATTTTATGTATAAGGTAATGCTGTCCATAATGAAGATAATGATAATGTGGAAACTCCATTAAGATGGGGTACTACTGGTACTACTGGAGGTGCTACAATTGTTGCTTCTTCTGAACATGAAAGTGCTGTTGATTCTGGTGATCATTTTACTGACCATTCTGGTCCAATTCATGGTTCAGAAAGTGGTTTGCAATTATCTTCTCCAATTAATTATGGTACACCAAGCTCATTAGGATCAATTCGAACTCCAAGAAGTGGAATTCGAGGGACTCCACTTAGACATAGACCTGACATCAATACAGATAAACGTTTACGTCAATTTACAATGCAAGAACCTGTAAGTTGATGATGACTAATTTTATTATACTCATTATTTTATTTAAAATAATATGATTTTTTTTTAATATAGATATTGTATATTTTTTAATTTTATATGAAAAATGATTGAAAATTTTTAAAAAATATATTTATATTTTGATAATATTATTTATATCTATATGTCATAAGTTTATTTATTTATTTATTTATATGTCATAAGTTTTATTATAGGATAAATATATAATAAATAAACAATAATATTGATAATGATAGTAATAATATTAATGATAATAATAATAATATTAATAATTTATAAATATAGATTTCAGAAATACAGAATGGTACATCAGAAAGTGATACAGCAGGACCTCAATTGGTTGTTTGGGGTACAAATGTAGTTATAAATCAATGCAAAGAACAAT